ATTGAGTTTTTTCAGAAGTACCATCCTGAATTCTCTGTCATTTAAGTCACATATTTGTACGTCTGTAAGTTTATTTTCTGGAAATTTTTCTCTTTCTTTCTGAGATGCCTTGCCACTTTGGTTGTTCATGGTGTTTAATGGACTAGTTCTCCACCTGGGCATTAATGGAAGTTTGTTCTGCTTTTATTTCCCATAAAGATTTATTATATAATTGTCCGTAGACTGTTGCAAAGGTGTTTTTCTTTTGGTTTCCAGTAGGTGGCGTCTAAGCATCTTGGATCTCTGCTTTATATAAAGTCTTAATAATGTCTTTTTCCTTACAGATGTTTAATCACTCTTGCTACCCTCAGTCTCAGTTCCTGTCAGTGTTAGCAACAGTTTCAGTAGCATTTGCTCAGATTCCCCCGGGGCTCTGTGGCATTCTGTCTCAGAGGGTATGGGGGTAGGGGCCCTCTGGGTTGGGAGATGAAGGCTGCAGCTCAGCCTCTGTTTTGCAACTACGGCTGGTAAAAATCAACTGTTGTTTCTCTGCCATCCCTGCTTTTCTGCCATCCTCGCTTCTCTGCCTCCTGCCCTGATGACTGGGCACTGCCGCCAGCCACATGGAGCTCACAGCACTCCCAGACAGGGCTCCCCTTCCTCCTACAGGGAGCTCTGGCTGCAAGAGACAGCTTCTTTGTTTCTCCCTGTCCACCACCCAAATCCTGAAGTTCTGACCTGGGGTAGCTCTTATGTGCAGATCCCACACTCCGATGTGCTGGTGTGCCATTTGAATATTTTTTGTTGAGTTTTAGATGTTCAGCTTATTGTTGTTTCAAGGGGAGAGATCTGGGAATGTCTCTCACGTCGCCATGTTTAATCCAGTCTCTCTGTTCTTATTGATTTTCATATTAGTCTTTAATACATTTTATCTGTTTCATGAGCAGTTCTTTTGCAATTTCTCAGATTTCTCTCATGCCAGTTGTTTATATTTCTTAAAATTTTGAGCCTTTTTGTAAATAAGTGCCCCAACTTAAAATTCTTTAAGTCAATATTCAGATATGCATAAACATCAATTCCAAAACAGTTTAGAAATGTTTAGCATTAAATAATATGTACGTTTAAGCCACATTTTTAAAAATTTCTCAGAAATACACTATTTATATAAGCAGCCACTATCTATCAGTGGGTGACAATATTTAGGAAATAACACTCATGCCTTTCTGTGATCAGTGGATACTTGCTCGTTCATTAGCTGGAGTGATTTATGGATGGCTAAACTTTGAGAAAGCTTATTTTTATTTTGTTCTAAATAACAAAACCAGATTTACAAATACATAAATCTGGATGCAGGTATAGCTCTATAGTTTACTATTCCTTCAGTAAAACACCAGAATTACTTGAATGGTTGCAAAGGAGGTATGAAGCTGGATCTGTAACTATTTTGCAACTTGATCTAGATCAAGTTTTCTCAACCTATTGAAAACTACTGAAAGTTTGGGCTAGATAACTCTTCGTTATGGGGGGCTGTCATGTACACTGTACAATGTTTAGCAACATCCCTGGCCTCTACACACTAGATGCCACTAGCACATTCCCACTCCTAATTGTGGAAAACAAAAGTGTTTCCAGACATTATTTTGGCCCCTTGGGGGCCAAAATTATGCCCAGTTGGGAACCTCTGGTTCCCAACTTAAGAGCACGAAGGAGTTGAGCGGAAACATTTTATTCTCCAGGCATGCACTTTTCAATGTGAGGCATGCCTTTTGAGTTGGGTCACACAACAGTAATCTTTTAGCCATTTGTTAAAACTCTGAATAATCACAAAAAATAACAGTTACTACATATGCAATGCTAAGTTTATACTAAGTGTTTTGTGTCTGATCTTCACAATGGTTGTCAAGTAACTCTCTTAAAATTGTCTTTTTAGAAACAGTCAACAAGGTAAAGAAACAACCATCCGAATGGGAAAATATATTTGCAAGCAACGCCTCAGATAAGGGCCTAATAATCCAAAATATACAAAGAACTCATACGACTCAATAACAACAAAAAAGCAAACGATCCAATCAAAAAATAAGCAGAGGACCTGAACAGACACTTCTCCCCAGAGGACATACAAATGGCCAACAAATATATGAAAAAATGCTCAACATCGCTAGTTAGTAGGGAAATGCAAATCAAAACCACAAAGAGATACCATCTCACACCTGTTACAATGGCTATAATCAACAGGACAAGTAATAACAAATGTTGGAGAGGATGTGGAAAAATAGGAACCCTCATACACTGCTGGTGGGGCTGCAAATTAGTACAGCCACTATGGAAAACAGTATGGAGGTTCCTCAAAAAACTAAGAATTGATCTACCATATGATCCAGCAATCCCTCTACTGAGTATTTACCCCAAATACTTGAAAATTCACATCTGAAAAGATATTTGCACACCGATGTTCATAGCAGCATTATTCACAGTGGCCAGGACATGGAAGCAACTGAAGTGTCCTATGACAGATGATTGGCTAAAGAAGCTGTGGTACATATATACAATGGAATATTACTCAACCATGAGAAGAAATGAAATAATTGCCATTTGCAACAACATGGATGGACCTCAAGATAATCCTGCTAAACGAAATAAGCCAGATAGAAAAAGTTGAAAATCACATGATATCACTTATATGTTGGAT